TACGCGTGAAAATAAACATTTCCGAAAGGATTCAAAATTTCTATATTCTATAGTACAAACGGTACCGGACTATACCCTTATTCGTTATAACAATCGAGTAGGTTTCGGTGTTTACCGACAGATTGCGATGATTACCGATAGATTCCGATGTTTACTGACAGATTGTGCAATTATTCTTTCACGTTTAGCAGTTCATCAGCTTAAATACGATAATATGATTGAAAACGTTATTAATGCCAAAGATCAATTCCTGAAGAGAGCAGAAATCCACAACATAGCAAGACTTGTACTTATAACAGTGTGTGTATTGTGTGATACCCGGTGCCGAGTGTTTACACTTTTTCGGTTCAGACGAAGTGCCTCAGTGTATATCTATCGTGATAACGTTTTCATCTTTTAAGAAGATCGTGAGGTATCCTTATTAATCGTCAGCAGATTTAAATAAGGTAAAAATAATTTTTATTCCTGTCAAATCTAAAACATTTACACTGAAGATAGAAGGTGCTATCCTTAGACGAACACGGTTGAGATATGTCAAGTGTCAAGCGCCATTTTTTGTAAGTGCGGTAGCTAGACATGCGACGTTGCCGGATCCTCACATAAATCGGAGTTTGTCATACAATTTTATAGAGGGCATTAATGCTATAGCGAAGATTTTATAATGCCATTGTGTGTTATTTATGGTGACACAATGCGACGTTGAAAAATGAATAATGAAAAATGAATGAAAAATGCAAAATGAAAAATGAAAAATGAAATATGAAGAATGAAAAATGAAAAATAAAATATGAAAAACGAAAAACGAAAAACGAAAAACGGAAAACGGAAATCGTCAGCAGATTTAAATAAGGTGAAAAGAAAAATCAAAAATCAAAAAATCAAAAAATCAAAAAATCAAAAATCAAAAAATCAAAAAATCAAAAATCAAAAAATCAAAAATCAAAAAGTCAAAATAAAAAAGTCAAAAAATCAAAAATCAAAAAAAATCAAAAAAATCAAAAATCAAAAATCAAAATCAAAATCAAAAAATCAAAATCAAAAAAAAATCAAAAAATCAAAAAAATCAAAAAATCAAAAAATCAAAAAATCAAAAATCAAAAATCAAAAAATCAAAAATCAAAAAAAAATCTAAAAATCTAAAAATCTAAAAATCTAAAAATCTAAAAATCTAAATCTAAAAATCGAAAATCGAAAAATCGAAAAATCGAAAAATCGAAAAATCGAAAAATCGAAAAATCGAAAAATCGAAAATCGAAAAATCGAAAAATCGAAAAATCGAAAAATCGAAAAATCGAAAAATCGAAAAATCGAAAAATCGAAAAATCGAAAAATCGAAAAATCGAAAAATCGAAAAATCGAAAAATCGAAAAATCTAAAATTAAAAATTACCAGACCAGACACCAGACACCAGATACCAGACACCAGATAGCAGACACCAGATACCAGATACCAGACACCAGATACCAGATACCAGACATCAGATACCAGATACCAGACACCAGATACCAGATACCAGATGCCAGACACCAGATACCAGACACCAGATACCAGGCACTAGATACCAGATACCAGACACCAGATACCAGACAACAGATACCAGATACCAGATAAAGCGATAACAGATACCAAATACCAGACACCAGACACCAGATACCAGATACGAGATAATAGATCAAAGATGCCAAAGGATAAAAAACGATTAGAGATAGGGATAAAGTATATATCGCTAGCATTGCATTAGCATACCAGCAACTGCGCTACGGGTGGTTTTAAATAAAGACATCAACGGACAATATTTAGCATAGCGTTGGCATGCTAAAAACTGCGCTAGTCGACTATATTAAGCGGTGATCGATTGTTTTTTCTTAGAAGGTCACGTGACGTTAGAGTCAGGCCGTGCGACGTCGACGCGGTTTTCGCGGTTTTTTAGGAGGTTCGCGAAACGTCCGGAAGGAAAGAGGTACCGTTTCGGAAAGTAGAAACTCGGCGCTTTACGGGCGGGCGAGAGCCGTCGCGGTGAGATGAACGGATCGGATCGAAAACGGCCGGTAAAGTCGAAAAATCTACCGTTTTCCGGACGGTACGCGGCGTTATTTCACACTCGTTTCGCCGTTTATCGAAATATCGACTCGAGATCGGTCTCGTTCGATAGCTAAACGAGAAATACGTACCAATAAGCTAAATCTGTTCGGTTCCGCGTCTCGGTTTTTTTTCTAGAAACGTTCGAAAAAAAAGCGACAAAAACGACGAATCGCCTTGAAAACTACGATATCTCCCTTATGCCGAAGAGAAAAGGAATTTCGCGTGCCGCGTTTCGTACATCTCGGCGAGCGCTACAAATTACGCGGAGAGACGTTTTTTCGTTTACGGTACCCGTTTCGAGTAAACGAACCTCGAACGTCGTCAAGAATGACTTTTTTGCGTATAAAGCGCGCTGCTTCGCCGTATATCAGCTATCTCCTCCGAAGATAAAGGAGCTACGAACCTGACGATTTTTGCGTGAGAAAGCCCGGACATCGGACATTAAGATAGCGTGTTTTTTTTCCTTTATCCCTTGTCGTTCGAAAGTTTCGATTTT